GTTATGGCTCTCACTTCTTTAGGGTATATACCTAGTAATGGGATGGCTGGGTCAAATGGTATTTGTATTTCCAACTTTTGAAGGAATCAATTTTGGCAGTTTTTGAGAACCTATGGTCTTTTCTATACTTGGTTTTTTAAATAGCCTTAATTGTATTGATGGATTTTAGTCTTTTTAAAGGCTACCTATGCTTTAAATTCCTATGAGATCTGTTTCATGGTGAGTAAAAATACAAGATGTCCCAAAAGTCTTAGTGCAGAAGTTCACATGATATACCTGTTGCTGTTGAGTCATTTCCAACTCCTAGTAACCTTATGGGACAGAGTAGAACTGCCCCATAGGATTTCCAAGGCTGTAATCTGTATGGAAGCAGACTGCCATATCTTTGTCCCATGTAGCGGTTCTAACCACCAACCTTTCAGTTAGCAGCTGAGTGCTTAAGCACTTTGCCACCAGGGCTCCTGTTTAATTGCTTAAATTTCTTTGCAGTAAGTTTTGTGATTTTAAAATGAGCTTTTGATTGTAATTTTTGTTTTAATATTTGCCATCTTCAATCAGAGGGATTCAAATAAAAAATTAAAACTAAAAAATTATTACACAATATAACCTACAGAATGGGAGAAAATATTTGATATCTGATAAGAATTTAATATTCAGAATATGTAAAGAACTCCTACAACTCAACAATAAAAGGACAATCAAATTAAGAAATGGGCAAAGGACTTGAATAGACATTTCACCAAATTTCTTTGCCAAGTGCCAACAGGCATATGAAAGGATGTTCCACATCATTAATTACTGGGGAAAAGCTAATGAAAACCACAGTGAGATACACTTCATACCTATTAAGATGATGGTTATCAGGAAGACAAGTGTTGACGATATGGAGAAATTAGAACTCTCATCCATTGCTGGTGGAAATGTAAAATGGTACAGCCACTGTGGAAAATAAGTTAGCAGTTCCTCCAGAAGTGAAACACAGAACCATTGTATGACCCAGCAATTTTACTCCTAGGCGTATACCCAAAAGAACCGAAAACAAGTCCTCAAAACAGATACTTGCACATGAATATTCATAGCAGCATGATAGCCCAAAAGTCAAAACCACCCAAGTGTCCGTCAACAGATGAGTGGGTAAACAAAATGTGGTATATAATACCATGGAATATTATTCAGTTTTAAAGAGAAATAATAGTTCTGGTCTGTGCTTCAACATGGACAAACCTTTCAAAGCATTATGTTAAATGAGATAAGTCAGAAATAAAAGCACAAGTACTATATGATCCCACTTACATGAAACATCTGGAATAGGCAAATGCAGAGGGGCGGAGAGCAAGGGGAATGAGTTACTGCTGAAGGGGGATGGAAAGCGTTTGGAAAGAGATGATGATGATGGCTGTGCAACGTGGTGCGGGCAATTCATGGCCCTGAATGATATGCTTTAAAATGGTTAAAATGGCGATTTTTTTGTTATGTATATTTTATCACAATAAATTTTAAAAATTTATTCGAAATTTTCAGAACTTAAGTGTCAAAAGAAACTTACAAATTAAACTTTCAGATGGTGTTTTTTGTAAGTTTGTAACATCTGTGCTTATCAGGTTATTGAAGCTTAGATTTGCATCAAGACTTGGAACACCCTGTGTACCAGTATTGGTGACATTTATGCCTACAGGTCAGAGATTAAAATGAGTTATTCCTTTTATGTAAAACTTGGATTTTGCTTTTGCAGAAAGTTTTTCTCTCTCTTGAATACACTTTCATTGATTATACATCCATATTCCTGGAATTAGGGCCAGAAATGGGAACCAGCTGCTTTTTAGTTTCTATTGCCAGGGATATCAATCTACTTGGTAAACGAAACTAAGGAAACAGTTTTTATACTACCTCTTAGCAGAGAAAATCATCAGGTGATTAGTGGATGTAAAAAAAAGTAGTTGTAGTTTGTTCTTGCCCCAAATAAGAGCAGGGCTTAACTTTTAAATTACAGTTTATATACTAGGTAATAATCTTTAAAATCATTATACTAATCTAGTTTAGTGAAAATGTCTGGTTAAAGGTTTACCAAATTCTGAATGTAAACTGCAGTGGACACTCAATTTAAGTATGCTATTTTTTTCTGTCAATGAACAAAATTATATATGCTTGTATTTAATACTTATAAGAAATTCTTGAAACTATGAAGTGAAACATTCAGGTTCTTTTTATTATTATTATTTTAAATTGGTACTTTTCCATTGATTTATTTCTGTTAAGGTAATCAAGTATGTTAGAAGACAGAGGTCATTGCATGAATCTTATTTTGTGTTTTTGAATGAACATAGGATTCACCTAAGCAAAGAAGTCTTACTACGAATGGGATCTTTGAACCCAGGGTTCACCGTGAGTCTGGTGGACAGAATAAGACATTCTTTATTATTACTCAGATTATCCACTTGGTGGCCAGAGTTTAATCTAAGCCCTTTTCTTCCTGCCAAATAGCACAGATCATGTCCTGCTGCTGCCCAGCCAGTCTGTACTTTAGGAAAGTAAATTCATTTTCATATTAGTCTAGGCAAAGAGCTGCAGGAGGAAAATCACATATGTTCCAAAGGCAAATATAAAGGTCTTTTGATTTTCCAATGTCTTAGGTTATCTGTGCAGCTTTCTTTCAGTAGTTTGAATAATTTATATTTTGGATCCATTTGCCATTTGGTTGAAAAAATATCAGAGCCAGCTAAACTTTCCAAACTACTTACTTAAAAGTGGTGTTATTAATGATGCATTTGACAGCAGTGAGCATAGAGTAGGGTTACTGTGGAATATACTGGTACCAGTTTTATTTTTACTTTTCCGAAGCCTATTTGTGTTCTTTCCCCGCCTTAAATAAATAAATAAATAAAATCCACAGGCAATAGGAAGAAAAGACATTTTGAAGAAAAGTATAAGAGCAGAGATGCAGGGAGGGGAAAAAGGAAAGTTTTCTTTAGTCAAGGGCGGACAGGGCCCAGAAACGTTCAAATGTACCATAGGTTATTTAACCCTGGAAGTAAAGTCACTTGGGAATTCACAAAAATGATCATCTTGAAGACACATAACTTAGAACGTGTAAGACCAGAATGGGCCTTTGCAAAGGAGCTGGTGACCAAGCTTAAACTGGAACCCATATTTCCTTACTCATAACTCCTTCCCCAAGTCTATGCATTTTCCTGTGCAAAAAGCCTGACTGCCTCTCCATCTTCCTCTCGCGCCACATTCCCCTTACTCTGTCCTATAGCCACACTCGCCTGCTTTGGGTTCCTAGAACTACCCTTGCTCCCTCCCCGCCTTACCCAGTTAATGCCTACTCATCTTCAGATTGTATCTCTAAGACCATTTCTGGGGAGCCTTCCCCTGTTCTTCCAACTAACGCCAGGTCACCCAAGTAATGCACTCTCCTAGCCCCTTGTATCTTTACTCCATTAGTTTTCTGACAGTTTGTAATGATGTGTTTTTTAGCGTGATGATTTCTTAAGTGTGTCATTTGCACTGTACTGTAAAATTGGTGAGGGCAGGGACAGAGTCTGTCTTATACACCATTGTATTTCTAATATCTAGGCGCTCTGGTAGCACAGTGGTTAAAGCATTCGGCTGCTAACCCAAAGGTCGGCTGTTTGAACCCACCAGCCGTTCTGCGGGAGAAAGATGAGGCAATCTGCTTCCGGAAAGATTGACAACCTTGGAAACCCTTTGGGGCAGTTCTACTCTGTCCTCTAGGGGCACTGTGAGTCGCAGTCGACTTGACAGCAGTGGGTTTGGTTTGGGCTTTGCTTCCGGAAAGATTGACAGCCTTGCGAACTCTATGGGGCAGCTCTACACTGTCCTCTAGGGGTGCTATGAATCAGAATCGACTTGACGGCAGTGGTTCAGCATGATTCCTGCACTTGGCAGACACACAATAAATAAATATTAGAGTAAATGAATGAGTGAATTCAGGCAAAATGTAGTGCGTGGAGCTTGTATATTGGTTGGTGGGGATCAAAGCCAGAAAGGCAACTTGCTGCCGCGTCGTTGAGGCTCTTCCTTCCGTACTGAACGGTGAAGCCAGGTTATGAGGGAGGCCACACTGATTGTTGTGAGCAGTGAGGGCCAGGGCTGGATGGGTAAATTATTCCTGGGGGGGAGATGTATATATATCTTGATGTCCAGATCAGGAGTTTTATTAGAAGACTAGAAACAGAAGTCAGTTGTCAGGATTAAAAAGGCTGTGGAAGCTGAGGTATAGGGACCATGAATATAGAGTATTCATTTTAGAAGCTTAACTGAGTGGTAACTGAGATTTTTTTAAAAAAAAAACAAAAAACAGTCCTTTAGAGAGTCCTTTGGATTTCCAAGGACAAAGGAAAGGAAACAGTGCAAGAAATTCACAAAATGAGGGGACTCTGTAGGGCATGTAATTGGAGGGGAACACAAAAACAGAAAATAAAGTGTTTCCATTGAAAGTCTCTGGGGAGTTGGGAAGTGGTAAGATCTAGGGTAGTGCCTTGTTTTAAAGTGGAGGAACTGGGAAGCAGTATACTAGATGAACTACTTCAGACATTCCAAGGTACCCAAATGCGTGGCCATTCCTCTGACTCTAAGCCTGACCTGAAGGTAAGAAGAGATAAACGATAAAGCTAGAAATCTTTTGAGCTGGGGGGAAGGGAACTCCCTCACGAAAACCTTGCCGTGTCAAGAGGAACGCTTAAGGTAATTTGACCATTCTGGTGTCTCCTGGAGAGCACTCAAATGCTACAGGACCTTGAAAGTCTTTGGACTTCCGTGACTTTACCTTTCCGCAGGTATCTGAAGGTAGTGCGTTGCGTAGTGCACTGCTGTTGCTTTGGTGCTTTTTATTATTTACAAACGCCCTACTGATTTGTGAGTTCTCAAAACTATGTCGTTGCATGTGATGTTTACCCTGATAGTTGCATTTGCTTATCATTCTTTTTGCTTTGTCCTCAGTTCAGATATTTTGGATGGCAGTAGTAGCAGCAGTGGCTTGTCCTCAGACTCCCTGGCTAAAGGCAGCACCCCCGCAGAGTCTTCAGTAGCATGCTCCAATTCATGCTCCTCGTTCATCTTGATGGATGATCTCTCACCCAAGTGACTTAACCATTTCTGATTCAGCGTTTTAACTGCTGTTTCCTATAGAAAACCTTTAGTGAGGAACACAGAGAACTTTGATCCGTAATGAGGATTAAAGTTTGACAGCTTTAAACCGTTTGGATGGATGCCGTTGTCTCTCGGCATTGCTCTTCTCTAAAGTCCAACTTTGCAAATGTATCGACCTTACGAATGTCTGTTTTTGCTGACCTCTTTTTGGATTTAGTGATTAAATTTCAAATACTCATTTTTGATTGCTTAGAGTCTATTTTTTCCCTTGTGGCCTCAAGGGCACCAACTTTAGAGTATAAGTTTAGAGAAAAGTACTGATACGTATTTTCAATCATGGTTCTTTTTCCCAGCAGTTACATGACAGGTTGAATTGATCAGAAATTCTCTTGCCTGAGAGATTTTTTCTTGTTCTCTGTTGACTACATGGTTTCAAATCTCCTTATTTCACAATAATAAAAGACTTGCCTTTGATTATATTAGGCTTTTCCTTTTTCTGCATCAGCTTAAAGTACATTATTTTGGTTCCTTTTCCTGTTTGAGCTGCTTACTTGCCATTTCTCAGAGGGGAAGAAACGCATAGCGCTTTCATTACCATTCACATTGCTTCTTTGCGGTGGGACTGGTTGAAGTCAGGGTTGATTTAGCGTGGCCAATGTCAGTGGACTTCCAGGCTGCCTGAAGGAGTCACCACAGGTTCTTAGGACTTTGCTCCATAGTTGATTTTTCTCCCCCCACCTGTTGCCCTAAGGAATGTATAAAATATTGTTAATATTTCTAGGTGGTGTTATCAAGGAGAAGAAATTCCTGCTTTGACCAGATGTGTGGAGCATCTACAAATGAATGAATAATGTTATTTACACACAAACCACTGTGTAGCATAAGCCTACACGGAGCTGTCAGTGTCTTGGGTGGTGGTCTGAGGCCGTAGGCGCCTTGGGGTAGAATGTTACGCTGTAAGGGTGGAAAGAGGGGCTTTCTGTGTGTGATTGCCGCGTACTGTTTCTGTTGCTGCTTTGTCAGTTTACTTTTTGTCATTGGGTTTGCTTGTTTTGTTGTGTGGCAATTGGTACCGCCCTGACGGTGCTTTTGGTGTTTGTATTACTGTCAGAATGGAATTTCAGTTCTTGCTCATACTGCCCGATAGCTCAGGCAGTGTAGTATCTAGGCAGAATCTTCTAAAAGCTGAACAGTGCAATGTTTTATGCATTTGGCTTTTAAGAAGCTATATGAACTATGAACAAGGAGGCCTGGTGGCATAATGGTTAAAGTGCCCAGCTGCTAACTGAATGGTCAGCAGTTTGAACCCCCTCAGCCACTCTATGGGAGAAAGATGTGGCAGTCTGCTTCTGTAGGATTTACAGCCTTGGAAACCCTATGGGGCAGTTCTATTCTGTCTTATGTGGTCACTGTGAGTCAGAATTGACTGTGGCAGTGGGTGTAGGGTTTTGGGTTTGAACTATGGACATGGTATGTAATAGTAAATCTGAGCTATCATAAGTTATTTAAGTTTTAAAAGGGGAAAATCACGACTGAGCTATTTAAAAAGCTTGATTGTAATTTATTGCTATCTTATTTATTTATAACAATGTCAAAAATGTCTGTGGTGATAGATTTTTTTTTTAATGTTCAGCCATCATGATTGGATTGTCTGTATTTAATATGCAAATTTGCCTGCTAGGCTCCTTGTGCATTTTAAGTGATTGTAAGAAACAAAAACTGCTGCATTTGTGTCTTTTGAAGGCAAAGATCATTGACTTTTAAAGGAAGATGATGTGCTTTGAAGGTACTCCTGGGCTAGTATGTTCCAGGACTAGGGAGGTCTAGTCTCTTTCATTGTAGGAGAGCTTCCCTTAGCTTGTGGTAGTTCTGTTACAGCACTGTATGTGTTCTTTATTTTAGGTTGTAATGACTGCCATAGTGACCACTAATGACTTTCTTTCTTCTATTACTTTTATCTGTGCACAGTCCATAGCCCTTCAAACCTAACCAAAACATGTATACAGTATTATGAAGATTGTCCCCTGGTATGCTATTTTAAAGAAAAATTACTTCAATAGTATCCAGTGTATTTATTCTGTTTGTATAAGAACCATGTTAAGCTGTTTCTTCTTGTAGGATATTTATCCACTTTCACTCCACTATCTTCTTTGTCTTAAAGGGACACTTGGGGCCATCATTTTGGGCTCTAATTTAGGACTGTTCAGGCATAACCTTTGAAATGTAATGATAGTTAAATTTATTTTTGAAATTGTAGTAATTCATGGTAGTATAGAATTGGGGCAGTACAATGAAATTGTTCAGGTGATACGAAAACTAGGAGGGGGATGATTTGCTTTTTTGTTTAAACCAGTGTACCTTTTTTATTGGCGCCATTGATTAGAAAGTTCCATTTGTGCAGGGATTGTTTTTGAAATAAGAGATATGCTCACCCTCAGATAAGCTTTGCTGACGGTACCCCTTTATTTTTATATAAAGTCTACTACTTGAAAAGCAATCATTGTTACAAAGTAAAATTCTTTCTTGCTATTCTAATATATCACATATTTCAAGCTTCTATTTGAAAACAAGTACAAGAGATGATACGAGAAAATCCTATATGCTTTTGCTTGACTGTCTTACCTAATCACCGTGTCTCATGATAACTGCTTTTGGAGTAATAAGGAAGTTTTGTGAAATGCTGGCCTTGTGTATATCTTAGAATGCAAATTTAATAAAATGTGTACACATGCATAAAATTTTGTAAACTTCTTCAAAGTCTCTCTCTTTTATTCTCACTGATAATTATTTTCTGCTTCCGTCTCCCAGTATTTCATTCTCTGTGTCTAACTGAAAGTCAAGTTTTGAATAAAAAGATACCAGGAACACAAATAATTGATAGTTGTATTGACATTTGGGCTTTGTTTTCCCAAAACAAAGAAAAATTTCTCCACATAATGTGTCACGTTTTCAAGAGCATATTGTAGAATCTGACCATTTAGAAGGGTCTGATAAAGCTCACATGTATTTCTTACTTGATTGAACTTATTTTGTTCTGTTTCTTTACATATTTATAAGCCACTATAAATTGTTTTTAGAACAAGATGGAGTACTAGTCAAAAAATAAAATAGAAGACTTTGATGCATGACTCAGGTTTTACACACTCAACTTTATTTTCCATGAAAAAATATATTAATTTTATTTTAGACTAGTTTTCATTTTGTAATAATTTCAAATTGAGAGAAAGTTACAGAAATAGCACAAAGAAGTCCCATATATCCTTCACCCAGGCTCCCCTGTTGTTAACATTTTAGCATGTTTACTTCATCGTTTCTCTATGTCTTTATCTATAAATATACATTATTTTTCTGAACCATCTGAGAGTGAGTTTCAGACGTGATACCCCATTACCCCTGAACACTTCAGTGTAAACTTCTTAATGCCAAGGACATTTTTACCTATCTATATTAAAACAAAAAACAACACAAACCTGTTGCTGTTGAGTCAGTTCCAACTGCTGGCGACCCCATGCATTCCAGAGTAGAATTGCTCCCTAGGATTTTCTGGGCTGTAATCTCGTTAGAAGCAATTTGCCAGGGCTTTCTTCTGAAGAGCAGTGGGATGGGTTTGAACCATTAACCTCTAGATCAACAGCCGATAACAAACTGTGCCAATCAAAATCAAGAAGTTAACTTCGATACAAACTGCTGACTAACCTATAGACCTTATTCAAATTTTGCCTGTGATCCCGATAATGCTCTTTTAGCAAAAGGAAATTTTTTTTTTCTTCTGGTGCAGGATTTGATCTAGGATTATGAGTAACACTTGGTTGTCTCCAATCTCCTTCAATCTGGAAGTTCCTTCATCTTTTCTTGTCTTTTGTGACCTTTATGTTTTATATAAGTACCAGCCAGTTATTTTGAAAATGCCCCTCAATTTTGGTTTGTCAGATGTTTCCTCATGATTAAGTTCAGGGCAGAAATCCCACGGAACTGATGCTGCGTTCTTCTCAGTATATCATTTCAGGAGGCACATGACATCACTTTGTCCTATCACTGCTGATGGTAACCTTCATCCCTTGGTTAAGCTGGTGTCTACCATGTTTCTCCATGGTTTTAAATTAATTATTTTGTGTGGGATATACTTTGAGGCAATATAAATATCCTGTTTCCTCATCAGTCTTACCCACTAGTTTCAGTGCTCATTGATCTTTCTTGCATGATGGTACTATGATGGCTGCCTACTGCCTGATTCCAGCATTCCTTCTGTTTATTAGTTGACATTCTACTGTAAGGAAGAACTTTGCCTTTTCACTTTTACTATCATGTATTTATTTCTTTGTATCTGTGTGGATTCAGATTCCTATGTTAATGGTTTTAATCCATTACCACAATTGTTTGGATATTCAAATTGGTCCACATTTGGACAGTGGGAGCCCCTTCAAGCTGGCTTCTGTATCCTGTTGACAAATGCCTATAGTTTTGGGGATGGTTTTTAACTTTCTGGCATCATGCGTCTCACACATACTACTTTTCTTGTTCTAACCCTGGGATCAGCCATTTCTTTAAGAAGCCTTGATTCCTTTTAATGGAGAAGGGTATTTAAACACCAAGATAAGGGTACTAGGTGTGATCATTGGTCCTAAGACATTTAAAGGCCTCAGAGCACAAGAAAATACACACCATACAAATGTTTATGTATATACACATACAGATGGACATCTTTCTGTATCTACATTAAAAATTGTATGTTTAGTGCCTCCAATTCCAGTGCAACGCCACAGGGTTCATTCCAGCCTTCACCCTGCACATCCTCTGAGAGAAAGCCGGATCCCTTGATCCTTGGTATAACTGCTCCTTTCCCCTGTACGTAACCAATTTCTGACCCTGCTAGCCACCACATTAGCTGCATCCCCAACCCCGGTCATCTTGGTTCCAACCCTGTGTTACCCCCCCCAGCCCTCTCAGTCTGGCTGCCTCTATAAAATACTCAAGTTTTAAACATCTGTGGCTCAC